ATTTTTTAGGCTATCAAACGGACCCTAATAGTGTTTTCCATTATGTAGAAGTGACACCTAGGTGGACGAGGAAGTGGTCGGATCTATTGAGCTCTAGATTGGTTGGATTTTAAGGTCAACATATTGGCTGTATCTATAGAAAACATAAGTTAACCATGAAGACACTGCATTCCAAAGGCTATAAAAATAATAGCTGACAAGGAAAGCAGACATGTTTGGCTGGCAAAAATAATTTTTTAAGGAGCACTTTCTGGGACCCAGTCAGTGAGTTCCAACTTCCAAGAAAAGGTAAGTGGCCAAAAGTGAAGACAAACAGGATATAAAAGGAAGAAATTGTCTTGCCTTGCTTCTCACATATCATCACTATTTATACAAAATGATTACAACAGATTTTGCCTAAGCTAACTCCTATTGATGCTGGAAATACCAAATTCAAATGACATAATTGAAAGATAGTTGAAGAATTCAATAAAATATATAAGAAAGAATACAAAGAATTACGTGGTTCTGTCCCAGTGTGGAATCTACATCCACGGGAGAAGAGAGAAGATAGATCCGAAGTATTAAAATGACACATATATAGTCATATTACAACGAGGTTGCCTTATTATAGATGAGATAATCACCGGAAATAATGTAACAAATTATGGAATCATTCCAATCATCATCAACCATTATTCTCCAAATCATGCCATAATATTTTCTTCAATACTATTGGTGATGATTTTATCTCAGGTGTTAAGGAGTTTTTTGCATCAGGTTCACTCCTCAAACAGGTGAACCACACAGTTATAGCACTGGTCCCTAAATCCAGCCATACCTCCAATGTGGAAGACTATAGGCCCATCTCTTGTTGTAATGTCTTCTACAAAGTCATTGCTAAAATCCTTGCTTCTAGATTGAGGCCATTGCTGGGAAGTATTGTAGATCAAGCACAATCTGCTTTTGTTGAGGGGAGAAGCATGATGGAGAACATATACCTTGCTCAAGAACTCATGAGGCAATATAACCGGAAGAGGGTTGCCCCAAGATGCCTACTTAAGGTGGATCTTAGAAAAGCATACGATTCTATTGATTGGGGATTCTTGAAGCAAGTACTGGAGGGCTTATGTTTTCCCCCAAAATTTATTGGATGGGTAATGGAATGCGTATCTACCACCTCTTACTCTATTGCAGTTAATGGCAGTATACATGGATTCTTCAAAGGAAAAAAGGGGCTGCGGCAAGGTGACCCACTTTCTCCTTTTTTATTTGTTCTATGTGTTGAATATCTCTCGAGAATGGTCAAGGAAGCGACTCATGAGAGTGACTTTAACTTCCATCCCAAATGTGGTCCGTCTAAGATCACCCACCTTGCCTTTGCCGATGATCTAATGCTCTTCGCTAGGGGAGACTTCACTTCGGTTAGAATCCTGATGGATTGCTTAACCAGGTTTGGGGATGTGTCTGGATTGAAGATGAACAACTTAAAGTCCAACCTTTTTTCAGCAGGGGTTTTTGGGCAAGAACTTGAAGAAATACAAGAACTCACTAACATCCCAAGGGGTACTATGCCTTTCCGATATCTGG